TTATGAATGGATGTATGATACCTTGTAATCTGGAACTGATGAATGGATGTATGATACCTTGTAATCTGGAACTGATGAATGGATGTATGATATATTGTAATCAGGAACTGATGAATGGATGTATCATACCTTGTAATCTGGAACTGATGAATGGATGTATGATACCTTGTAATCTGGAACTGATGAATGGATGTATGACACCTTGTAATCTGGAACTGATGAATGGATGTATGATATATTGTAATATGGAACTTATGAATAGATGTATGATACCTTGTAATCTGGAACTGATGAATGGATGTATGATATATTGTAATCAGGAACTGATGAATGGATGTATGATACCTTGTAATCTGGAACTGATGAATGGATGTATCATACCTTGTAATCTGGAACTTTTCCCATCACTCAAGTCTAAATCTTCTCATCACTCCAAGTCAGAATCAACACACTAGAACACCTTGGACTATTAAAACCTTACAAAATATTGCAAATGATTTTATACAGAAATAATTACATTTTTTAAACCAGTAATCATCATGTCTATATATACTAATAACAAAAACTTCCTTAGCTTTATAACTAGCAACAAAGTGACATCTACATGGTTTCAGTGATTTAACTACAACTACACTAATATTATTTTCTACAGCCCTGGTATTGATTGGTTTCCTATGTACATTAAACACATGCATTAATATCATGTGTAACATTTCCTATCCATGAGACATGCTAAAACTTAAGCAACAAAACATTAATTTGTTAGAGGTTATAATTCTCCTGCACTAAAAATATATTTCTGATAGGTACTTACCTCCACTCTCATAAATGGCTATTCTCGTTCAGTGCTGCCCTCTATATGCAAAATATTGAAAGAAAAATTAACACTAACATACACAAAAAATTAACAGCAATAGAAATAATAAAAAATCCCTCCAAACTTAACACCAGATTTAAGTCTTGTAACAGTGTAATACAATATTTTTTGTCCTTAAAACAACATGATGACCCCCCCCCCCTCGCCATTAAGTCTATGGATTAATCCCTTCATTTATCCTTTAATAACACTTACGTGAAATTTATTTTATATATGTCCCATTCTTTATTTTTACAAACCTAAATCTCTTACTGCTACAAGTTCCTGTGGTCAAGTCAACAATTTTCTCTCATTAGCAAGATATTGTTTCTAGCATAAAGGCTGGAGAAAATCACCATTAGAAAATGTCAATCATACACAAAAACAAATACTGTCAGTAACTATGCACACTAAAACACACATTTCTGGATATATATATATTTTGAAGGAAATAAATATTACATTGTATGTTTTTCATACTTAAGACATATTTTGACACTATACTTTTTATCGTAAATACAAACCACTAGTAAAAACTATAATTCTCTGAGGTCATACAAATGCAATCTCTATTAACCTAAAAACAAATCTTAATAATTCTGCATTGCACAGACAGATATAATTGTAGCATTTTCTTAGCTTCAACAGCTACATATTCGATGATTGATGTCTTGTTATGAAATATGTAACATTTCAAAACAGAGAGAAAAACTTTAAAGAAAGTTACAAAACTTAAATTTATAAATTTAATTGTTACTGGTTGTCACTTACTACCAAACATTTCATAACTTGGGTGACGTCAAAAACTTTGTTCTTCATCACAATCTGATTAAATGGCAGAAAATGTTACACCTCTTTATTGCACAATTTCTAGTCTGAGTACTCTCTTCAATTAAAACAAAATTTAAATATTTTGTAAGGAATCAATGAACACAAAATTTCATACAAATGAAAATTATTGAAAAAATATCTTGAACGTAAAGTCGTGTTATTACAAATACACCTTTATCGATGGACAGACTTGAAATCAATTGTTAACTTTATAAGAGATATTTGTGTGAAGAAATATTTACATAATACAGTCAAACCAATATATCTTGAACACCTTGGTTCTAAACAATAGTTGTCGTCTTTATAAACATGTATATATAAGGTGGTCATATTGAAGCTTAACAAAAAAGTATTAGTACCTCTTTTGCACACAGATTTCATGAATATTCTATGATAAGCTATTCCTAAAATACACTGATACATTTATATGCATGATTGTTATGGAGATTCTTCACAAATAATTAACATTTAGGTCCTTTTGTCTTTTTCCCTGAATTTATCTTAAAACCTTCATTGATAATTTTGAGAGAACACCAGTATACTTAAATTTTTAAAAAAGGCCTTACATTTATGTGAATCAATTTCCATTACATATAAATTATGTGGTAAATAACTTCATTAAAGATGTATTGCCAAATAATTTGTTTTATAGAAGTTTTAATGAAAAAGAGACCCCAACGATGGTCGTTACAAAAGGAAAAAGGTGAAGTACATTTAAAAGAAAAAAATAGAAAGTAAAATTAAGCATTTTAAGTACTTACCTACATTATGACATAGGTAATTCAAGAATATACAAGTAGCTTAAGTGCACCCAGCACAGCTGGTGTCAGTACAGTCAAAGGTGTTGAGTGTGTACCAGTGTGGAATTAGGTGTCACAGACATGGGTGGAAAAGGAGAGGAGCACATTGATACGGGAGAGAACAATGGTGGGATAGGAACCTGAACCACCATATAAGAAATCTCAATCCAACAGAGTACTGGAACATGGGTGAAAGTAAAAGGATGTGCTCCCAGGTGTAGAGTGGCTAGGGTGCGACGGACAGTACACGACAAATCAACTACATCCAAAACCCAGCCATCTAGTGGGGGGTAGGAAAGAGGATCATACCATCTTCACATCAAGTTCAGTACAACGGAGAGAATCAGGAACCCACCACTCCGTCAATGGGATACATGATGGCAACGTAATAAATAGTTTGACCAATCCGGGAACCCAACATCCGGACGATCGGCATAAGAAAGATGTCTCGGTAATAGAAACTAACTCACTCAAGACCATCTAACAGGAACCGCCTCTAGTGCAATAACATCCTCGGTATAGCGTAAGGGGAAGAACTGCATTAATCTACATGTCCAGCTTCCATGACCCACATAACACGAGTGGATGAAACAAGAGTATAAGTGAGTGAGGCACAGATACACCTATAAAACATGTGTGAGGACTTATGTTGATTGGTTCATCTCTGAATCCAAAACCCGGCCACTGGGAACTGACATCCATGTGGGACAGAATGAGGGATCCCAATCGAAGGGGTGAACTGTATTTTGACGGCTCACTCAAAAGATATAACATCCCCTCAAGTATAAACCCATACAGAGGTGGAGCATCAGATTGGAGAACATCTCGTCATCTATACCAGCAGAACACCACGGCCCTACTCGCAACTGAATGATTGTAACATTATTTGTATCATATGTCTATATCACATTCAGGAGGTTGCCTCCGTGGTCCACCTCCACAGCCTCTGGACTCTCCACTGCATTTTCTCCCCCATTTTACTTCAGGTGGAGTATGGGAGTCCTTACCACTATCCAGTTCCAAACCATACATCAACACTGGAGACAATGCAACAGGTGACCACAAAAACCCTATTTTGAGAAGCAGACTATATATGATTTATTCAATCAAAGGCATGGCAGGAATGAGCAGCTATCCCCTTCTGCTTTACCCGTGAAGTCCATGGGTGAGTATGGTCCGGAATGGGCATATTAATGAAGCAAGTATATTGCTACGAAAAACCTACAAGTAATCTTGTGGAACAGCCCATCTCAACAGTGAGCATTTTATGACCATGGAAGTTATAAATATGCAGTTAACATGGCCTGACAGTGCAGATTTGACTATTGGAAGCATACCTGGTCAGACACCACTCACCAAAAAGCAGGATTGAGACAAAGGAGGATGGAAAAGAAAATGGATTACAATTCTCTTCGATAATACCCAAAACACCCACAGATCTGTGGTCAAGAGTTGCCAAAGGGGAACAAAATCGATCAAGCAAGGCCCCATTGGACCACGACCAACTGGGTAGTCATCTATACTGTTGGCGAAGTGTTCATCTCGGTCACATAAAACGACGAGAAGAGGAACCCCTTGAGGAAGGATTAGGTAAGGGCTTAGAAAGAGCTGGATGGGAAACAATAATAGGGGCATGTCTAGGCTCTGAATGAAACAAATGATCCACCAAGACAGAAAGGGTAGTTTCTCATCACACTGACTCTACACGGGATTCCAAAATCTCAGAAATATTACCAAAAACATATCACTGCTGAAAAGTGGCCATACATAAGTCCCGGAGATAAGTAGGCAGTAAACGAACCTGGGACAAAGATGCATCCCTCCCCAGGAGATCCCAACAACAGAGAAACTATATGTGTAAGAATAGAGCTGAAGAGAAGACAAACGTGGAGGTAATAAGAGAGAGGCTATCCTTAGAAAAACCCTCACGATCTCTGTGAACCACCATGGTAGACAAGTACTGTAGGAGAGTCGATAGGGTAAGAAGAAACTGAGAAAATTGGGCATGTGATAAACGAACAGGATCCCCCCCCCCCCACCACACACACACAGGACAAAAGTGATTACAAAG